CCCCCCCCGCCCCTTCCCCAATTGCTTTGAAAGCTCTATTGCACTGCTGCTGTTGATATTAATAACAGAATAAGGAGAGATGGGGAGGGGGAAGCGTACTGATGGAAATAAGATCTGTGTTGTCGGACAGAAAAGAACATGGGTCTTTTTTAAAAAATCTAATTCTCCCATAGGTACTCCACTGCACTGGACATATTCGTGTGTATGACACATGCAGTAATCAGACTCACTGTGGCTACAAAAAGCCTCCCATGACATGTTTGGTGTTGATCTGTGAACCTATTCCTCATCCATCAAACATTGAGGTCCCCTTGGACAGTAAAACGTTCCTCAGTCGTCACAGTCTTGATATGAAATTTTCCTATTGTGATGAAAGGTAAAATATGTTTTGTGCTTAAGAGATGAATTCATTTTAAGAATTTGTAAGGTTTGTATGTGTTTGCTAATGTAGGCATTATACCTTTAGGTAGTCTTAATCCTTAACTTAATTCACCCGCGAAATGGAGTCTTCAGTTGATGCTTTTGGCTTTTATTAATTAGTCAGGATGTCTTACATAAAAGCCAAAATTTTAAATCTAAGGAGGGTGGCGGGGTACTGCTCCTGATTACTTTGTTTGCCTGCAGTTAAATACCTATTCAAACTGGTCCTTAGTTTAGTGACAACAATAAAACTAAACTAAGATTCTTTTGGATACTGAAAGAACAAGAAGGATTTTTAGGGTTGTCATAGATGGTGGAACCTTTCAGTGACTGAAAAGAGTGCTTGTATTTAGGATCCTTGTGAGATGCATTTTACTGCTGCCCCCCTGCTCCCTCCTTTTCCTCAGAAGATCAGTATGTGTTCTCTAACCAAAAAAAAAAAAAAAAGTTCAGCTGTACTTTTGATGCAATACATCTGCTGTTTAAAATGAGATTATTATATTCCAGTACCAATCCTGGATGCAGTGGAATACATAAGAATGTTCTTTATGTTCTGGAAACTTGAGCTTGACAAATCTGAAAAATAGAAGTGAAGGAGCTCATTGCCCTGAGGGGGGTGGTGGTGTGTGTGTGTGTGTTTTTTTTTTTTTTCTCCAATGGGAAATTATTTATTACTGCCTGCTATGAGGTTCCTTTTCTTAATAACAAAAAGTAATTTCTTATTAGTTGTTGCAGTTAGATGCAAAGGTGCAGGTTTTCTGCCCTCTGCTATAACTTTACCTTTCTAGGACTTATGCTCTCACATAAAAACAGATATATTTGGTCAAATCCCGCATGTGGAACAGGACAAACAATAAATAAATGTTTTCTCCTAGTTAGCACTGCCCTCTAGGGGCTGAAGAAAATACTGTTTTCTTTAAAAGCTGACAATTGTTGATGGTGGGGGAAAAAAAAGACTCTCATTTCTTTCAGTTGCATGTTTAAAATTGTTGAAATATGTATTTGTTTTATTACCTTTTTGTATTAGTGTAAGTTGATAGTCTATAAGTAGCTAATCTTAACTTTAAGCAAAAAAGTCTAGAAAGCAGGGATTTACTTAAATCTTGTCCTGTGGTAGACAGCAGGTTTATAAATATTCTAATGAGAAGTAAAATCCTGAAATCCTGTGCCTGCTGAGACTTTGCTTTTTTTTTTTTTTTTTTTTTTTTTGCTTCTGCTTAAGAGATGTACTTCAAAATAAAAAGTCACAGTAAATCAACAGTGCTGCTAATGTGTATGGAAGTGACTCAAAGATCTCTCTAGGTTTGCAAGCATCTAAAATTAGTATGAGTGCTACTCTAAGCCTGCATTTACTTAGCATTTTTCCCCTCTTTTTAAAGAATTACAGAGTTGATGGGGTATGAGCCAGAGGAACTCTTGGGTCGTTCAATTTATGAGTACTATCATGCGCTGGATTCTGATCATCTGACCAAAACACACCATGATAGTAAGTGAAAAGATGCATTGAAAATTCCCCAGCTACTAGAGATAAGATTCAGCATGGGGAAAGCTGCAGAATAAAGGGGGTTTTCTTTTAATTGCAGATAGGAATCTGCAGTGAATGCTTTTCTTGAAAGCTATGTATGTTTGTTTTTTCCTGCCTGTAATTAAAGCTGATGTCCTTTCTGCTTTTAGTGTTCACAAAAGGGCAGGTGACAACAGGACAGTACAGAATGCTTGCTAAACAAGGTGGCTATGTGTGGGTTGAAACTCAAGCAACTGTTATATACAACACTAAGAATTCTCAGCCACAGTGCATAGTATGTGTAAACTATGTGTTGAGGTAAGTTGAGTGGACATCGCCATCCTTCTTTCCATGACTTTTATTGAAGATGGAGTCAGATTCTGATGACCTCATATCTTAAAAAAATTTTTTTTTCCAACTTGCTGAGGATCTGGTTGAATATGTTATGATGTTACTATTTTTCTTACCAGTGAGTTTTTGCTTAGAATACTGCCCATCGTAGGATTAGGAGTTATGTTTAAAACAAAACAAAAAAACCCCACACCCAAAATAACTCCTTTGAATCTAGTGATATCAGTAGGGAGATCTCCTGCAAGCAAATGAGTATAAGGCCAGGCTCTTCTGGACTGTCACAATGGAAGCATGTGAGAATATATCTGCATCTCAGACATCTATTTAATCTTTGTCCACAGTCTGAGGCAGTTTATTTTATGGGTGATTTTTAGTCATTGAGCCAGAGCATCAGTATCAATGTCTTTTCTAAATCTTTTTTTCATCAAAACTCCTTTTTTAATTGAAAGCTTCAACTTAAGGCAGATCTGTTAACTAACTTTGTGCAGCTGCACAGTAGTCCTAAATTCTGAGTTTTCAAAACTGTACTGAATGTAACAATACCAATCTACTAATATAGTGTGTTAATTTAAAACAAAAAAAAAAACTGCTTAGGGAAATCCTTAACTTTTTTCCCGTTGACTTTCTTGATGCTTTCAAGAAAGCGTATCTACTTATTTGTTACCTTTTAGGGCACCACAACTAGTGTTTGCTTTCTGTATAACATTAGAGGAAGGAATGAATAAGGAAAAAAAGAAAAATCTTAAAGCTTCTTTCTGGTAATTTTCTTTTCATGACTTGCAACTTATAAAACTGTTAATGCTGAAATTATTTCTTTTAGCTGTTCTTAATAACAATCTTCCTTTTTGTCTGACAGTGGCATTGTTCAGAAAGACTTGATTTTTTCCCTCGGACAAACTGAGTGTATGCTGAAACCGGTGGAGTCTCCTGATATGAAAATGACCAAAATATTCAGCAAAGCTGAACTGGAGGATACCAACAGCCTCTTTGAAAAACTTAAACAGGAACCAGATGCTTTAACTGTGCTAGCCCCAGCTGCTGGAGACACAATTATCTCCTTAGATTTCAGCAGCAATGGTGGGTGTATGCTTAAATTACAGAGCATGCTCATTAGTAAAATTAGTGTTTTACAGTACACTTTGGAAAATAACCTCCAGTGTCACTTGCCTAATGATATTTCAGCCACTGTTAAATGTAGTGAGGTCCATAGACACACTCAGTACTTTTACTTAGGTTGATGGTTTCTTTTAATTTTTATAGAGTCTGATGAACAACAATGTGATGAAGTTCCTTTGTATAACGATGTAATGCTCCCCTCATCCAGTGAGAAATTGCAGAATATAAATATGGCAATGTCCCCACTGCCTGCCTCTGAAACTACAAAGCCACTTCGTAGCAATGCTGATCCTGCACTCAATAGAGAAGTTGTATCAAAGCTGGAGCCAAACACAGAGCCACTAGAACTTTCTTTTACCATGCCTCAGGTGCAAGAGCAACCAACCAGCCCTTCAGATGCAAGTACCAGCCAAAGTTCACCTGAGGTTAGTCATGTAATTTGGATACCCTGTGATGAAAGTGAATGTTCTGGTGGGGCTTATGGGGCAAGATTAAAGATATTAACTAAGACAGCAATTTAAAATTATTCATAAAGTGTAGCTTAGTTAAGCTTATACCATGATCTGAGGAAAAAGATGAAATTTTCGTACTGAAAATTCTTTTCCTTAAAGAAGTGCATGCCGTAGTCTGTGTAAGAGAAATAGGAGCTGTTTGGGATTGGCCTTTCCAGAAAAGGATGATTTGGTGACAACTATGGTAAATAGCAAAGGAGTTGCAATAAATTACTGTAGGTGCTCTTTAAAAGTTCCAGCTAGTCATGTGCTTCCCCAAAGAGATAAATTTGAATGCATATGGAAAAGTGTAAATGGTTTCCTCTCCCATTTTGGTTTTGTACAGCTACAGTTTGGAATTAATTTTTTTAGATTAGTACTTTTTTCAAATGTTGTAGATACAATGCAAAATAATATAATGACAGAAACTTAAAACTGCGCTTGAAATACTTTTACAGCCCAGTAGTCCCAATGACTATTGCTTTGATGTGGATAATGATATGGCTAATGAATTCAAACTGGAATTAGTGGAGAAACTCTTTGCGATAGATACAGAAGCAAAAAATCCGTTTTCTACTCAGGTAATGTACATTCATTTAAACTGCTGTATCATCTTAATTCGTATATTTACAATGTGTTTCTCTCTTTTTTGTTTTTTTGTTTCTCTTTCTTTGAACATTTTCAGGAACCTCCCTCCTCTTATGTAATCAGACTTTTATTAAAATAAAGGAAGAGATTGCAGAAAATTATTCTAAATATTTGGTAAGAGGAAGAGCCTTAATGGGGCCGTGAAGTCATAGCTGAGCTATTCTGATGTATTATAAGTTTTACCTCGTATGTTTTCCAGGAAACTGATTTAGACTTGGAGATGTTGGCTCCTTATATCCCAATGGATGATGACTTCCAGTTACGCTCCTTTGATCAGCTATCTCCACTGGAAAGCAGTTCTTCCAGCTCTCAGAATGCAGCCACCATTACTATATTTCAGCAGACTCAGACACCATCAAATACTGCTGATGAAATAAAACCCGTGACAGAACACGTGGATGATGTGAAGACACTAATTGTTCCTTCATCTCCTGTCCACGTAATCAGCGAAACGAGTAGTGCCCCAGCATCGCCATATGGTGGGAACAGGAGTCGAACTGCCTCTCCAATCAGAGTAGGAAAAGGAACATTGGATCAGACGGAGAAATCTTGTCCAGCAGCACCCAGTTTGCTAACAGTCACTCTGAATAAAAGGTATTTTATTAAAAGTTAAGCTTAAGCCCTAGTATCTGTTCAAGAAGTTAGATGTAATACGTTTTGAAATACTGCAACTGTGTTGCTGTCTTCTGTATTCTACTTCAGTGTAGGAATTGATACATTTAATTCTGGACACTTCAAACAAGATATTTTTGGTAGAGTAAATATCCCTAAAGTTAATTTCTCAGTAGTTTTTTTGCGGTAGCTTTTACACAGATGTCTTGCATAGTAGGCAGCTACGATAAGCAAACTGTGTTCATGATTTTGATCTGCTCTTGTATCTGACTAGCAGCCTTTTTAAAAGAATACAGTAGGCAATTTACAGGTAGTTAAAACGATGCAATATTTCTGATGCTTTTCTTGTCCAATTCATTATGATGCAAGAGACAGCTACAATCTCTAAGCAACATGAGATGCTTTTAAAGCGAGCCATATTTCATAATAATGGATATGTCATAATATCTGCATATGTAGCAGATATTTATCGTGGTAGAAAATTCTACAAAATTAGAACACCATACCTTTGATGCACAGAAGTATTATCTGTACATGCAAATATTCAAAACAAATAGACTCCTTTTCCTCACCCTCCCTCCCTTCTTTCTATAGAAAGACAGTGAATTGCTGAACCTTTATGCTTGTATTTTTTCTAGAAAGCCTTTAAAAATTGTTATAAGTCATTCTGAGTCTTACAGGAAGATTTAAAGCTAACATTTGCTATGCTCATAGTCAATTGTTGAAATGGGTCACTGACCAAAGAAAACTAGTACATAAATTCAGTTCTGTCATATAATATATGAAGTGTCCACAAAAGAAGAATGGCTTGAGGATAGTAGAAACTTCTTAACAGACTGAATCAATTTTTCTTAGATCTACTGCAATGGATGAAGAACTAAATCCAAAGATGCTAGCTTTGCATAATGCTCAGAGAAAACGAAAAATGGAACATGATGGTTCACTTTTTCAGGCAGTTGGAATTGTGAGTTTTGTTTTACCATTTTAAAATATTTTAACCTTGCAATTTCCGAAATTAAGCATCAGTGCAGAGTCCTGAGTTTAGCTAATAGTATGCAGTGGAATCTTGGGATGAAAGATGATTATTTGGTAGTAAAATTCCCTCTTATATTCATATACTGACTTTAGATCTCTTTTACTGTCAGGTGTTTCAAAAGTGCCCTTTATACCTAAGCACGTTTCTTGATTAGGCAGAAGATATTCTTTTGTGAACATGCATGCAAAGAGGGATTTTTTCCTCAGTAGAATGTTCAGAAATGTAAGACATCCCATTTAAAATTGACATTTATTTCACTTTTGTTTCAAACTTTATTTTCATGTTTCTCAGTACTGGATATAGTGTTCTTTATGCTTCTTTCTATCACTTCACACTTTTCACTGAATCTGAGACTTTATTTGGCCAGATAACAAATATTATCTGAACATAAGTGAATAGAATTCATACAACCTATCAAACTTGTATTACTACTTTCATTACATGCACCGTCTCTCCAGTACTAGTGCATGCGTCTGCAAGTAGCTCATCATCATTTGTCTTACGTATTCAAAAGGAACCTTTTATGTATTCTTTGTGGGTTTGTTTTTGTTTTGTTTTTTGGGGTTGGGGGGGGGGGTCACTTAATTGAGGGTAACCAGCTTGTTACCTTCTGTGAGGGTATTTTGTCTCCAAGCTTTGTCTTTCAGTATCGGTCCTTAGTATTTTGGAGTCTTGGGCTTTGCCATTACAATACTGTATCTCTCTTCTTGCCTTTGTTGCAAATTCTTACTTCTCTTAAAAGTTCTTACACAGTTAATTCTTAGTTCCTCTACTGCTACACAGCCCTTGAGAGTCTTTGTTGCTCTTGTGGTCCGTTTCCTAGATACAGTCATCCAGCATGTCTTACAGTGCAGGGGTATTTTCTTCTGAATTATGAACTATGCCCGTATTGTCATTCTGCTTCTGGGAATGACAGTGATCACTGTATACTATCTTATAACTGATCTTCCCTATGAGAGCTGGGAAAAGCATTTATACATCCAGGCTTTTTGTATGAGGTTAGCAGATTTTACTCTTTTAAAAAAAACAAACAAACAAATCCCCATACTGTCTCAGCGTTTTCATTCCCTAATGCTTTTCACTTTCATGCATGTTGTTCTGTTCCTTCCAGTAGCTTTGTAAAAACTCACAGCTCTACAAATTTTATTGCCTTTTGTTGCCTCTTTCTTATGTAACAGCACTACTGCTGTCATACAATGTAGCTGATAAAATATCCAAAGTAGCATAGGTGACAGAACATAAGCACTTCTGTGTTAACTGCCATAATAAGTGTTCAGGCCTCTGTTTAGTGCCTTTTTAATGCTTATAGGTTCATATTTCATCCTTTGCTAAACCTTTTTCTTTTTTCTGTATCTGACAAAAATATTGCAAATATTTTTGCTGTTTTTTGCAGTCAGAGGCTGAATTTTTAATGTAGCTGGGTCTTACTGACATTATTTCAAGCAAACTTGTACCATTTGGCTTCTTTCTCTAGAATGGATTTCTGAGTGTGTTAACTAGGCCTTGCACATGCACAGAAGAAAAATGACATTAAATGCAGCTTTACATTACATGGTATTCTGGGACTGTGTAAATATCTGTCAGGACTCCCTAAGCGTATAGAAGGGGGAACTTATTTTGCAAAGACAGTGAAACTGTATGACGATAAAGTAAAACACTACTATAGTTTTCTACAAAAACAGGAGATTAAGGCAAGGACATGCTGTGTTAAAGTAAGATTATGAAATAATGATCCGAATCACTGCAGAATAAAATACAAGCTACATCTTTCTTAATATGAAGTGCTGTATTGCGTTCACAATAAAAAATAAACTAGCAACAACGTAGCTGACTGACCTTACTATGAAACGCAGCTTCTGAGCCACTTAACTATGTAACTTCTGTTATACAACTTTCTTTGACTTGTATTGATGTTTCATAACCTGAAAACATATGTCCTTGAATATTTTCATTGTCTAGGATAATGGTACCATTCTGAATTACTTTCTTTCTTGTACAACTGCTTCTACTACAAACAAGACAAAACTTCGCAAATTCAACTACTGTTGCTAGCAAACTTGCTATTAAGCTGGTGGTTTTTCCTTCCCATCCCCTCTTTCTGATTCAGTGGCAACTTTGTCTTACTTATCTAAGTTAAATGGAGCTTTTAAAAGGCTTTGGATCGCCATATCTTGTATGCTGCTGTCAAAATAAGGTGTTAAGGAGCTATACCGTAATAGAACGGATCAGGACTGCATTCCCCACAAGATTTAAGTTGAACGGCTTGGTTGCAGTAATTAGAGGGCAAGTAGAATTTTACTCGTTAAATTTAGACGGAATCAACCTACCAAGGTTCCTGAACTTCCTGTGCACACTAATAATTCCAGTGTGGAAAATCATTAGAGACTTTGAAAATTTGATGCTTACTCTGGCAAGAGCAGTGATGATTAAATGGGTGTGTATGTGTACATGTACATGCTGATCTTGAGATGGTAGCTGAGGATAACTTGGATTTAGTAGTTTTCTGTAAGTAAGACAATGTCTTGAAATCTGATTTCACCGTCTTTGACATAGTTTAAGACCAGCGTACATGGAAACAGACTTCCTTCAAGCTCTGAAGGAAGTCCCCTTTAAATTGTAGCAATGCCTACATTAGTAATTACTGACAGGTACTGTTAGTTTGGAATAGGGATGTGGAAGGATAGAAGGATATAGCATTCAATAAAGCAGTTTATTTTACTTCTTTCTAGGGGTCTTTATTGCAGCAGACAGGTGATCATGGGGCAAATGCATCACTTGCTTGGAAACGTGTAAAGGGATGCAAAACAAATGGTCATAATGGAGTGGAGCAAAAGACAATCATTCTACTATCAACTGGTTAGTAATTTTTTTTTTTTTAAATATGTAGAGGGTTGTGTGTGTGAAAGAGAAAACTGGGTGCCTTTCAGGTATCCCAACTTGCCTCCTTTCCGAACAATTTTCGGAGAAAGGTGAAGCGTGGTGAATAAATTGCACTTTTCCCTTCCCTTCCCCTCCCTTCCTCCTCCCTCTGTAGACATAGCAAGTAAACTTCTAGGGCAGTCGATGGATGAGAGTGGACTACCCCAACTCACAAGTTACGACTGTGAAGTAAATGCTCCCATACAAGGCAACAGAAACCTGCTACAGGGTGAAGAACTGCTCAGAGCTCTGGATCAAGTTAACTGAGCTTTCATAATACTTGTTCCTTTTTTGGACACTGGTGAATCATCACCTAAAGCAGTCTATTTATATTTTCTATATCTGATTTTAGAAGCCTGGCTACAGTACTGCACTAATTCAGTTAGTTCAGTTTTGATCCCCTTTTTACTTACTTTGACAGTCTTTTTAATGTGTTCTTTATGTAACAATAACTCAACCTGTAGTGCATTTTTATAATTCTTTGGTACATATACTTTAAGTCCATTACATTTAAAACACACTTGCAATAGCAGCTTTGAAATATGCACCTGATTCTAAAAAAAGTATTTATTTTTTGGCTGGGGAGTTGGTCACCAAAACTTATCATTAGTAAAATGTCAACACAGGAAAAACTGGCAATACTTCCATCCTGCTCTTCATAAGTAATTGGAAGACTTGTGCTCTCTTACTCTTTATGTTCAAATAAGTTTTATTTTAATAATTTTTATAAGAAACAACAATGCTTTGCAGCAGTGCATTGTAGCCACAGTCGCACAATATATTTTCTTAAAAAAATACCAGCAGTTCCTCATGCAATATATTCTGTGTTTATAAAAACTAGTTTTTAAGAAGAATCTTTTTTGTTTGCCTACGAAATCATGTTTAAACCTGGATTATGTCATTATTTTAGTCATGTTGTAATATAAATTGTTCTTAAATGCTGTCTTATGCTTTTGACTTAAATGAGTGTGATTAGTCAAAGGGAAAGGCTTTATCTGGAAAGGGCTAGCAGCATTTTTATTTGGATACATTCTCAATTTAGAGAGAGAGTTTGTTCTTAAAGTAGTCACTTTGCCAGCTTAAAAAAAAAAAAAAATCCCTGCCTGTAGTTGTTGAAGTTAATGCTAATATTGTGTATGATCTTAAATCTAAATGTTCAGCTTACCCTCTGTGGTATAGGTGATATTTCAAGCGGATTGTAAAACATCATGCATTGTTAGCAAAGTTTTATCTAGTACATCATTGAGTTGCTCGATATTTTGATGTTTTGGTTTTATGCACCTTGTTGCTATTAACATCCATGTTTTCATGTAGATTTCAATAACTTGAATATACTTAGAAGCCTTTTTATTTAGAAATATATAGTTGGCACAAACATCTTATTTTCCTATATGTACTGTACAAAATCTTCATTCACTCATTCTTTTGCTCTTTGTGGTTGGATCTAACACTAACTGTATTGTTTTCTTACATCAATAAACTATATGTGGACCAGGCCCCCTTGGGGAGTGTGTTATCTGAGAGAAATGAGATAATTTATATTTTTGTTAGTGGTTATTGTTCATCAGTGTTCCCTTTTTAACTTAGAGTTGATTGGAAATCATTGCTTCCTTACATTGACCTTAACATCTCCAAGTTAATTACTTTAGTGATGAATAGACTCAAGTCTCCTAGACAGTGTTGTACTACAGCTGGCCAAAGATGTTAAACAAATTTTTAAACCAGTTATTACACCAGTTAGCATACTTGAAAGTGAGAGGACAGTGTATTTGTGTTCTTTTAGAGTGGAAAGATTCTTCTTATGAAGAGCTTAAAGGCTTGTCTCTGGAAGCACTATCAAGGTAACACTGGAAAGCAGGAAAACTAAAAATTCCCAAGACTGATCAATTAAAGATAGAGGGGTTTTGTTTGTTTGTTTTTTGTCTTTGTCACAAAAACTGCTGATGAAAAATGAAGCTGGTACTCAATGATAAAGGAAGCTTGTTCTCAACATCCTTGTGCTGTTGGCTCAGTAACTTTGCCTAGGTGACTTTTCTCATTTGGCAGTCTTAAAATGTGACGCTACTGATACAACCTTGTAATCTATAAATACAGTCAAGATATTCTGTGCACTCTTCAAACTATTGATTTCTCTTGCACTGAAATATTTCTTAAGTGTGGAGTGTCTTTCCACAGGATTTATTTTGGCCATGGTTAAATTCCTTCCTGAAATTAATTTGCTGTAACAAATTAAGACATTGATACTTCTTAGTTTTTCTAAAATTTAAGCACTGACATATCCATATCTGAAAATGGGAATTTGTGTCATTAGACTCCTTTGAGAATTTTAAAATCAATATAATGTTACATAAGTGTAACCCTTTTTTAAAATAACCTTTATTGTTCACTAAGAGAAGCATTTGTCAAATTGAGACAATTATTGAAATAATAGTCCCCCCATTTAAACTGCCTACTTAAAATGCCTTATTTAATGGAGGTAAGGCATGGGTAGCAGAATATGGTTGTGTGCATCTTAGAGTAGAATTTGTGTAAAGAGAGGGGAAGGCATGCAGGTGCCCCAAGCCAGAGCTCAAGCTTTGTGCAGAGAACATGTTTTGAATATACACAGCTGCTACTGCGTATTAAAGACTTGTCATGCACAACCCTTACACGTCTGAAGCTTAGAAATTTCTCTGGATGAAAGCAACAGAGCTACTGCCTACCTGCTATGTAAGGACCTTTGTATGGCATGTGTTTCATGGACTCTTTTCCTCTATCTGCAGTAGAGGAACTTTTAGTAGTGAAGTTCTTAAAGGCTTGAGAAAAATGTCAGCTGGCAGGAGGAACCCTTTTATGCTTAACTCTGTGTCGATTAAGGTGGTGCTTCTGTGAGACAGTGAGGAGAGTCTTGCAGACATATTAAAGGGAGGAGTGAGTTCACCTTTTCTTACTCCTCCAGGAAGCTCTTGAGCTGGCCTCTTGGGTTACCCTTTTCATCTCTCAATAGAAAACATATATCCTCCAATTTGATAGTAGCTCTGTTACTCTGTGGACTTTATTGTGGATGTCCTGACCTCTTAAAAACTGACCTATTTGGAACTGTAAATACTTCCTCTAATGTGCTCTAATTTAGGTGGGCAGCGAGTTACCTGAGAGAAAATCCATATTACAAGAAGGAGAAAAACTTAACCATAAATCACATGCTGGTCACTTTATGAGCCAGCTGGAATCATCTCTGGTTTTAGTGATAGCAGCCGTGAATTTAAATAAGCACTATTTCATCTAAGGATCTTCCCAACTCATATACATTTTCTATTATATTAACCAGGCATAGCATTTTGATTACTGTCCTGGTGAAAGTGGCTGAAATAAATAATTCTTAGAGTGAACTGCAGTAGACCTATGGAGTTTAATCCTTGGGGGGGGAATTAAAATTGAAACCTAACTTCTAAAATATACAAAGATTCTTCAAGGATTTCTCCCTCTCCCTGCCCAGGTAATTCTTAGAATAATTATTAGAACCTGCCAAATCTGGCCTTATCCTTGAAGTTATGGCTGCAATAAATCCTGGAAGAGAAGAATAATTATTTGGTGTAAACACTTAAAAACAAACAAAAAAACACACTTAGGTTGCTTAGACATTGAAGAAAGTATGGAAAATAACAGTAACAGAGCTTTGCTAAATGCAAATGTGAATTCACAAAATGCAGAAGTACCCATTTTAGGGTTTTTTTTGTTTTGAAGTTGTTTTTTTTTCTTCTTCTTACAATCTGGGAATACATATGCTGATGGTAAACCTGCTTTGGAGGACAAGCTTCTAGAATACCTTCATTTTTGAAGGCTTTCTTAGTGATTTTGAATAATCTCTTTGCTCACTTGCTACCTCTTCAAGTGTTAAGGCACTATGTAACAATACTGCTTTGTTGCTAGTAATAGAAAAGAAACTGCAGCTGGATATAGTGTTCCCTTTTGCATATTTAAAAATAGGCCAGATTATCATTGCCAGATAAACTGAAGGGGGTAACAAAGTTACCTTTCAGAAGGCTATCATGACAGCAGCAGGAGTCAAGCTATGTCTTCATAGCTCTTTACATTTTTTTTTTCCTGCATGGAAAAATTGTGCTTCTAAGAAGTTCCTTGCTCATTATTGTTCAAGAATTCAATTTCTTCCACTATTTCAGGCCAGATTCTCATCAGAATTTCAGTTATTCTGCAGGCCCTCACTTATTTCCTCTGTCTGCTGTGTATAGACTTACCAACCTGACTACTGTCATGTTATTAAGATGCCTGGCTTGGCTTTAGGATCTGCATTTTGCTAATATACTTGTATGCAAATGAACAAGCCATTACACTTTGTCCTTGTACATAGCATGGTTATACTATTTATTTCCTCTGTTTTTATTCCCCACACCTGTAATTATTTTATAACCTTGACTTCGAAACAATCAGACTGGTTACTTATCAGAGTGTTGGTGAGAAAGACATTAGCTTGCTTTACTAAAAGCTAAAGGAATTTATATATTTTTTTAAGCTAGCACTTAGGATATTCCTTGAGCTGAAAAAGTCATAATAAAATAGATGTTAGTTCCCACAAGGTCAAATTTAAGGCTGCTGTCCAGTGACTTGATCTTAGGTGTAACACAGTGTAAATTAAGAATCTAAATTGGAATCTAAAGTGCACACTTCTAACCCCCTTTCCTTCCATGTAGGAAGGTAGGCTTGGACTGGATGTTGATGTTAAAGTTTTTGGGTGAAACTAAACCAATTTAGTATTAGCAGTTTCCATGTTGGTTGTGTCTGTGTGCACACATCAAGTCTTCCCCCAGAAATAATGAATTACTTCAAAGAATCACAGATTGAGGCCAGAAGGGACCATTAAAACCTTCCTTATAGCACTGGTGACCATCTCAGGATGAAAAACTTCCTTTGAATGAATTTATCAATCAATCAGGCTTGTGATGAAGTAAAATGCTAAGGATCAAACATTTTGATTATTACAGGTTAAACTATTGCATATTTAATGTAGCCATTTTTCATTATTTTAAGAAGCTGTTCAATTGAACAGCTGAAGAATGATAGCTAAACAATGCAGAAACGTGGGCTGTTTCACTAATATCTGTCAGCAGGCTTTTCCCCCCCGTTGTTACATTGCTGAATGAATCATTTCCTTCAAACAATGCTCTTGACTCTAGGAGTTGTGAGTATTCTACCAATATGAGTCAGTCTATAGAAACCATTTGTTTCCTCCATGATCTTTGATTAGCTGCTACTGATCAGAACAAAGTTCATTCAGAGGTAACTACATGATTCAGATTATTTGAACTGTAATAGTCTAGCATGAAAATGAACGTTTCACAGCCTTAGAGTGCTTTGTAAGAAGGCCAATAGTTTCATAGAAATTTAAATGAGTTGGGTGTCCAGCTTTCATTAAGAATAGGTACTACTTATCAGGCCCTTACCTCCCTGGAAAGCTCCATTCTGGAGGAGAACTGTGATTTTGATCTAAATTATAGAAATGAGTTGTCATTTTCCTTTTGCTTCCCTGTTTACCTTGAGCAAGGCTTGCCAAGTTACCAAAAAGTTAGTTTGCTACTGGATTTATACAGTATGGTAGATTTTGTGAATAATAGCAGTATTCTCTCATGAAGAAGTGGTATATTTTAATGGAATTCTTTTTGGAACCAAGTACAACATATTGCAATTGATATTTCTCTTGAAACATTTTGACATATTTGTGATTGTATTTCTTTTTGATTGTGTAACAGTATAAAATTCAATAAAGAGAGGGTTTGTTTCTAATTTGGGACATCTCTGATCTTTCTGTTCAACAGTTATCCCAGCTCTAAAAAGGTGAGGATGGTAAATGACAAAGCCACTTTTGTAAGTGGTAACTAAATAAATACTATGCTGTATAACTAAAATTCCCTGCACAGTTGAGGCCTGATTTAACTACCATTGAAGTCGAGAGAAATTCTGACACTAGGCACACATAAAACCTAAGTGCATTTATAAATTCTACCTTGTATTTTCAGCCAAATCACAATGGTTTTCCTACCCAAATTAAGTAGACTGCATCCATGATCAGAAGAGGTTTAGCCCTACAACATATCAAGACAGACAAAGCAGCTTCTAATGTGTGAGGAGGTCAACAGAGACGGAGCCAGATGGGTAAAGACCTTTCATGAAACTTCCCTGGGTAATCAAGTCAAGAACACCCTTAGAAACAAAATAGAAAGTATTTCAAGTCCAAGATGACTTCTCCCGTTGATTTCAGTTGCTCTCAGTACATGCAAATAACTTGACAAGAACTTGGAAATCTTACTGTCTTGTTAAATCAATGCTATTTCAAATTCAACATATTAAAAGTCTATTACAATATTTTTTTTCTTTGTTAAGAAGAAGTTCAAAAGCAGAAGGCGCAGTTGAGTGCCGGCACAGGAGAGCGCGATACTGTTGTTGAGTATTAGTGATAGGTTTGCACTGATGGAAGTTTGAATACACTGTTTAATAAAATAGTGCCAGAGTTTACTTTTTCAGAGACTTACCATTCAATGCTGCTGTTATTTTCAAGTCCGAATGCAATTTTCATCATGTTTTCATTTGGAAAAGGTGTTCTAATGCAATTAAATCAGGTATTGCAAAACAAAAACTTGTCTTGTACCACATGCCACTGGATAAACTCTCATTATTTATAGCTATTCGTATTTATGCGGGATAAGTGACTTGCAGCTTACACAGTAGGAATTAATAGGACAAACAGGGCTTCATCCTTTTGTTTAGGAGTTAAATAAGAATACAAATAAGTTACAGTAACCACCATCTTCCTTATTTTATCTATTTTTGTTGTTGTTCGGAAGACAGTCTATTAACAATTACAGTTTGCTAATGAAAAATTTGATGGAGTAGAGGAAACAATTTATCAAGAAAAATGAGCAGTATATTCATCAGCCCCAAAATGAATGCTGTTTCATACTATACAACACAGAAGGGGAACACTGCAGGAAGGCCTTTTTTTTTTTCCTTTGCATCTTCATTCCTTACATTGTAGCCAAACTTTCTGCAAGGAAAGACTATCACACATTAACATATAGGCACAACAGCCTCATCCTCACTACAAAGGTTCATCTTGCACAGTGAAAGTGTTAGGATATTCAGCCCCATCTACCTTGGGGAAAAAAAAAAGAAATTCCCATCTAGCTTTTCTTGAAACAGCCTCTCTGAGAAATCACAACACTCACTGCACTCTTAAAATACAAAACGTAGAAAACACTCTCAAACTTTCCAAGTTATGCATCACTGGAGCACCAAAAGACTCTTTTGAAATTATAACTCCTACAACTAAGTAGAGCTGGGGTTTGGTCTCTAGGTAAAGAAGAATGCACTCCATGTGTGTCAATTATTAACCTGTGCTTTGAATCCTTAAGTCCATTAGGGATGACAGAGAGGGGAAAGGTACATTGTAACTGTTTTTCCAACAGTATTGCCATTCTGTTTCCAAATCAGTGCAATCTATTGAAGGCGGAGGCACGCACTGGGTGAATGTGGTCACTGTCCTATGTCTCTAAACATTAATCCAAATGATAGACAAGAACATCTTTTCCCCCCCCCCAAAAAAAAGAGAGAGAGAAAATCAAAACCGCAGCAGGTGCAGCTCTCCCCTGGCAGCTGCTAAAACCTGTCCAGTTCACAGGCAATAGCTCTGCTAATGCTTCTATTCCTATAACCAGTCAGAGTGGCAATCAGTGCTTGAAGGCAACAGCTGCTCTGCTGTCATGGCCATTCATTTCTGCTCACCTATAAAGGCTGCTAAAGGTTGTAGTTCTAGCAACCTTTCTGGAAATAAATTAACTACTGAAAGATGTTTTTGTGCCTGTTGCAGCACTGTGGAAGTTAACTTTGTAGCAGCTGACAGTTTGAACAGTGACCACCTTTCAATCAATTAGTTGATGCTAACGGTGCATTGGCTTGGAAGCTACCGCAGCACTAGATCTAGCAATATCTAAAATTCATTTTGCTGTAGATAGTTATTTAAGAAAGCAACTCACGTGAACTGATCACCGGGGGGAAAGCCTTGCGGTTTTGAACGTCCACTTGCCGCAAGTCATCGCACAGCGCCTCATTCCATCCGTAACAGCTATTCGAGACTTTCTTTACGCGTCCTTTTTTCTCCCAAAATTCTGTCAGGCTTCCCTCAGCACGGGGGGAGGGAGTTTGCAGCCCCTCTGTCCTGCCCTGCGCCGCGGAAACACCCGGGCGCGCTCCTGCGGCCCCGCGGGACCCGGCCGCGGCCTTGGCCC